ATGGACTCTTCCACCGCCGCTTCCACCGCCTTCCCGGTCTTAGTAGTACGCCAGTCTCCATGTTCATCGTACCACGCAATTTTCCTCTCCTTCCCCTCACCCTCTTTGACCACAACCATCCCCTTCGGCCATATGATTTTCACATCTTTGGTTTTGTGGTCGGGGTGTTTGGACAAATGGTACTTTGCATAGCCCATCCGTTTTTCCCGGTCCTTTTCCTCGGTGGTCAGGTTGTTCCGGAAGAACACCTCGCCGAACGCATCTTCGTCGTCGTTCAGCTTGTCCCGTACCTTCTTCCAGAAGCTTACCTTCGATTGGATGGAAGTGAACTCGATTACGCCGAACTTCGCGGAGCCCGTCGCGGCCAGCACAACTGCGCCCGACCTTTCGCCCACAATCTGGTTGAGCAAGTTTTTCAGATCCTCCGCCACCTGCTCTGCCGAACCACTCCCATCGAAGCCAAAGGCAACAACCTGCTTATCCCGTATATGCTTCTCTGCATCTGCCTTTCCCCCTCCCTCCGTCCCAGTACGCTGCCATGCACCGCTCCTGGGGAGGTCACTGTTGTTGTTGTTGTTGATGTTGTCCTTAGCGCCTTGCACTTTGCTGTCGATCATCTGCTCGATTTGCTCTTTTGTTAAGTAAAGGTCATCCAGGTCATTCCGAATTCCTTCCACCTGCATTTCCACATCCTCCATCTTCTCCTGAACCTCCTCCGCTGCCCTCCTTGCATCCTGAGCCTCGATCCTCGCCTGGTCAATCACGCCCTTTATGCTGGTCACCTCTTCCTTCAACGAGTCGAACTGTTTTGCCTGGATCTTGAGACATTCCTTGAACCATGGTGGGGCTTCGCTGAGATACCCATCTTCCATGTTTGTATCCTCAAGCTGTTTCATGTCTTTATCTCGGCGTCCTGTCTTTTTATCCGGTGTCGAGCCTGTCGCGGTTCCCCCGAGTTTCGCCATCTTCCCAACTTTGCTGCGTACACTCCGGGCAGACAGAACAGAAGAATTAGAATCAGGTATGTGCGCACAACCGTCGCAACAGCCTCGGGCCTTGAGCCAAAATGGCCTTGGTTTGAGCCAAGTGGCTTGAGCCAAAATGGGAGTGAGCATGGTGTAAATGCCTGTGCGGACTTGTTTTTGGATGTGGCAGCTGCTATAGAGGGGACGTGGACCCCGAATACGCCACGCCGGTGAGTGGTGATGATGTGTTAACCTCCCAGGTGTTGCACCGACTGTTGATGATAACCGGAAGGTTAAATTCACATGCGCCCGCAATAAGGCCGATCGCGTCGGCACGGAACCGGCGCAGCGCTTCGCGGCCCCATGGGGAGCCCCACCGAACGCCCCAGCGGTTGTGATCACATGCGCCCGCACCATCCAGCGCAGCGTTTCGTGGCCTGCCCTTAGGGAGCTCCACCGAAGGCCCCACTGGCTGTGACCACGTGCGCCCGCACCACCCAGCACAAATTTCTGCTGCGCCCGCAGCCTCCCGCACCCAGAGGTACCCGCACCCACTTGACAAGGGGCGCGGCACCCCCCGCGCCGCCCAGCCTGGCGGTGCCAGTCTGAGCCGCCCCGCAGGGCGCCAGGGATGCAACTACCCCCAGAAGCGGGAGGATGGGGCGAAACCGCGCGCGCCGTCCGCAATGGCGGGACGCAAGCGCAGATGCCTGCAAGATGCAAGCACCGACGCCTGCAAACCGCACGACCCCGAGGCGCCCCGCGATCCGCCCCGACGCGATCCCCGCGGCGCGCCTGCACAGGGCGCGCATCGCGATGCAAGCAGAAGCGTAAACGCTGCCCCATGCGCGCAGTGGCCTTTTCTCGCGGGGCAGCGCGCAGCCACGCACATGCAGTCGCACCCCCCTCCTCGCGCGCGCGGGCCCTTCGCGTGGGGCCGCGCTCCGCCAGGCGCAAGAAAGCGGGAGGCGGCCCGCGCGCACTGTTCGCATGCCCGCGCGCGGGCCAGGCGCGGGCGCGAAATTTGCGCCCGCGCACAACGCAGCACAAGCGACCGCGCGCGTTTTCGATGACGTCGCGCGCCCAGCAAAGCGCTCCGTGGCCTCATAAGGGGGCCCACCGAAGGCCACAGCGGCTGCGATCACATGCGCCAGCGCCACCTGGTACAGCGCTTCGTGGCCCCATGGGGCGCTCCGCCGAAGGCCCCAATGGCTGTGATCACACGCGCCAGCGCCACCCAATACAGCGTTTCGTGGCCCCATTGGGAGCTCCACCGACGGCCCTACTGGCTGTGTTCACATGCGTCCGCGCCACCCACTGCAACGCCTCGCGGCCCAAGAGGGAGCTCCACTGGGCTGTGAGCACATGTGCCCCCACCACCCACTACAGCGTTTGTTTCGTGGCCTGCCCCACGCGCCAGCGCCACCCAATACAGCGTTCCGCGGCCCCAGAAGGAGCTCCACCGAAGGACCCAGTGGCTGTGATCGCACGCGCCCGCGCCCGAGAATACAGCGCCTCGTGGCCCCATAGGCAGCCCCACCAAACGAAGCTCAGCGGGCGTGGTCACATGCGCCCGCGCCACATAGCACAACGTTGCATGCCTCATAAGGAGCTCCACCGACGGCCCCAGCGGCTGTGATCACATGAGCCCGCGCCACCCAGTACAGCGTTTCGTTGCTCGCCCTTTGGGAACTCCACCGAAGGCCTTGTCGGCAGTGTCCGCATGCACCCCCCTCCCGCCCATGTCGGCATACCCTCACACGTCTCGTGGCCCCATGAGGAGTTCCCCTCCTTTTGTCCAACCTGCCTTGCGGTACGCACAACTGCATATGGATAGGTACTCGCCAGGATAACTTTCAACCATCTTGTGGTGACGGGTCTTCGTTTTGAAAAGACAACGCCCCGCGTCCCACCTCCTCGTTGTTCCTTTCCTTTTCCTCCCCTGTCCCCTCCTCCTCCCGCCTCGTCCCATCATCACCCCATCATTCCACCATCACCATCGCCACCACCATCGCCGTTGCCACCACCATCGTCACCACCACCACCTTCATCAACATCAGAAACACCCGCATCCGCATCATCACCATCAGCATCATCATCACAATCTCCATAATCGGCATCACCGTCATCATCTGCATCCTTTCATCACCCTCATCATAACCATCGTCATCCTCATCGCCGCCAGCATCATCGTCATCACCGGCATCATCCTCATCACCACCATCACCGTCATCGTCTGCATCATCGTCACTCCCGCGGGCACACCCTTTTATGCCCCACCGAAGGCTCCAATGGCGGTGTCCGCATGCGCCCCCGCCATCCATTGCGGCACACATACGCTTCGCGCCCCCATAGGGATACCGACGGCCTCAATGTTCAAAATTCGCACGGCGACCCCGCCCCCATTTCGGCACAACCCCCCCACACGTTTCGCGGTCCTATAGGGAGTTCCACCGAAGGCCCCAATGGCAAAGTTCGCATGGCAGCCCCGCCCCAATTTCGGCACACCCCTCACACGCTTCGTGGCCCAAGAAGCCTCAAAGAGCTCCACCGACGGCCTCAATTTTCAAAATTCGCACGGCGGCCCCGCGTCAATTTCCGCACACCCTTCACGCGCTTCGTGGCCACATAGGGAGCTCCACCGAAGGCTCCAGTGGCAAAATTCGCATGGCGGTACCGCGTATCTTTCGGCACACCCCTCACACGTTTCGCGGCACCATACGGAGTTCCACCGAACGCCCCAATGGCAGCGTCCGTGTGACGGGCCCACCCCCTCAGTCGACACACCCTTCACACGCTCCGTGCTCCCATAGGGAGCTCCACCGAAGGCCTCAGTTTTCACAGTTCGCACGGCGGCCCCGCGTCGATTTCGGCACGCCCCTCAGACGCTTCGCGGCCCCATAAGGAGCTCCACCGAAAACCCCACTGGCAAAGTAAGTTCGCATGGCGGCCCCGCCCACGTTTCGGCACACTCCTCCCACGCTTCGTGGCCCCATAGGGAGCTCCACCGAAGGCCCCAATAGCAAAATTCGCAAGGCGGCCCCGCCCCCATGTCGGAACACGCCTCACACGCTTCGCGGCCCCACAGGGAGCTCCACCGAAAGCCCCAGTGGCAAAGTTCGCACGGCAGCCCCGCGTCAATTTCGGCACACTCCTCACACGCTTTGTGGCCTCATAAGGAGCTCCACCCAAGGTCGGGAACGGCACGAAGGAGGGCGACGACCAGTGGCTGGAGCTCCACGCGCTGTTCTAACGCGCCGCGCGGCCCGAGGACCTCCTGTTCATGCGGGCGCCGCGCATCGAACTCTTCTTGGCACGGCCGCTGGAGGGCTTGCGGAAGCAGCTGGAGCAGCTTGCGGCGCACACGATGCGGCGCAGGAGGGAGGCGACGGCCTTCGCCAGGAAGCCGGGCTTCACCGACTTAGTTCGCGAGGCTTGACTTGAGGAGCGGCCCGCCCCGACTGTCCAACAGTTCGCTTCGCGCCGCGGACGACCCGCGCGCGTCGCTGGGACCGTCTCGGGGCGACCATCGAACGTTGCGGGACCTCCGTGCTGCGCTCTGCCCAGTGCTTCGTTCTCCAATCGTCGCTCTGCCCAGCGGCCAGAGCCTGGCCCGCTATCAGCCAACCAGCTAGCTTGCCATGCCCTGTGCAGCGGACGACCCGCGCGCGTCGCTAGGACCCCTTCGAAGCGACCGGCGCGCATCGCGGGGGCTCCGCGTTGCGCTGCGCCCGCGCCCGTGGACTTGAATGCGCGGGCAAAGAGGGGGGGAAAAAAGGAAGGGTCATCTTGGACGGTCTAGTTTTCTGTCGATACCCCCCATCGAACAGATCACGGATAGAGGCAGCCACGCCGAAGACCCTATACGAAGCTCCACCGAAGGCCCCAGTGGCAGCGCCCGCGTGCCGTCGCCATCCCACTTTGGCACACCCTTCACATGTTTCGTTTCCCAATATGGAGCTCCACCGAAGACAATAATCACAATTGCGGTACTCACAGCTGCATACGGTCGGGTCCTTCACCTGGCTAGTTGTTTTGCAGCATGGTTCGTAAAGTTGCAGATCATATTTGCCAGTTCGGATGCTAACGTTGCAACCTGCGTAGGGCCATAGCCCCATGAAAAAATTAAGACGAATCAGACGAATGGGCTCTGTTTCAGGAGTGATCCGGCGACATGCGGCCTGCAATCGTCTCGCCGTGAGCGCTCCAAGTGCCGCTCCACACACATCCTCCTCGATAAAAAACATGAGCATGGAAGCAATGCGTCGTGTCGCCACGTGACACAGAAGCGATGGCAAAGGCGTTGCTATTGCCAACAGATTACTGGGGTTTCAGATAATTGGAAGTAGCATCCAACGAGCTCCAACAAGTCCCTCAAACAAATTACATGACGTTTGGTTTGCGAGCTGACGAGCCCCCGCACGGTCATGGCACGGAAAAACGTTGAAACCAATATGCTTCAAGTAGCTGAAGCGTCATGGTCCAGAGGAAAGTCAGGGTGCTACTGGCAGCCTGACTGCACTGGCAGCTGCCAGTGGCGATGCCAGTGCCGAGCTACCTCCAAGTCCATAAATTCAGAGCAACCAACTGCGACGCGCTCCTGAAGGAAAGCGATGCTAGGACGTCCTCGCTCCTGGCGCCCGTGCGGCGGCGCACCCAAAACCTCAGGAGTCGTGCGAAAAGAGGAGACGAGGCAGTGGAAGCGCTCTTGCCAACGGTGCCTCCCGGCGCTTCGCGACCCTCGCATGGAATTCGGACGGGAGAGGAGCAGAGCACGAGGTCCCAGCTCGTACGAGCAGGATGGCGGGCTCACCTGCACGGGCAGGCTCGCGCGAGCCACCGGCACCCAGAGGCTGCCGAGCCGCGCGGCGGCCGCACGACGGGGGACAGAGAACGGAGGACGGGCACCGAGGCGTGGTGACGGGCGCGGTAAGTTCACAGATGCTCACAGAAGGTGCCAAACGTCGGCACGGGGTGGCAGAACTTCTGCGCCAAATCCCCGGCTCTGCGCACCGCCCCCGCCCTTGGGGGCAGGGAGCCGGCGGCCCACTCGGGAGGCCCTCCTCGAGGCAGGGGAGCCCACGGCCAGCTGCGCCCCCTGGCTCCCCTGCCTCGAGGAGAGGCCCCCCCCTCTCCGAGAGGACGTCTCGAGGAGGCAGGAGGCAGGGGGCAGGAGGAGGGAGCGAGGAGGGAGGCAGGAGGCAGGAGGAGGGGAGGGAGGAGCACCTCGGAGGGGCGCCTCGAGGAGGGCGCCCCCGCCGTGCCAGCGGGTCACGCGCCGCAGAGCGCGTCCGGGAGCCGGGGGTGCTCCTCCGTGCCGAGCAGGCGTGAGCCCGAGCTGGCGCAGACTGCCGCGGCCGAGATGCTGCCGCCGCGCGCGGCGGCGGCCGCGGCGCCGCCGAGGGGCGCGTAGGGCTCCACGGCGATGCTCCGCGAGGCGACCGTCTGCTGTGGGCCTGCCTGCAGGATGCGCCCGGCGCTCTCGGCATCCGCCATGACGACGTAGGCGATGCCCCCGGGTCGGGTCCGAGACCTGCCGCTCGGCGCCACCACCTGGAAGGAACAGAGGACACTGCATGCACCCACAGGGCAGTGTTGAAAACATGGGAGGATGTTTCAACATCTCGGATGTTTGATACACGACTCATGTATGAACAAATGAATGCATAAACTCGTCCTTGCATTTCAGACTGAACCCCTGCATTTTCAATACATGGTCCGCACGCGGAGCATGTATACAAACGGCACTGCAAGGTCAGAAGACTCTGCTCAGCGTGTCGTGGCGGCGGCCCCGGTGGCACGCCGCCCTGCAGGCGGACAGCGCGTCGCTCCGAACCGCGGGGCGGAGGGCTGGGAAAAGCTCGAGAGGAGGAGGAGGAGGAGGAGGAGGAGGAGGAAGAGGAGGAGGAGGAGGAGGAGGAGGAGGAAGAGGTGAAGGAGGAGGAGGAGGAGGAGGAGCAGGAGGGGGAAATGGTCCACGTGTCGCGCCGAAACATGGTGGGCCAGAACGGTGGTCCGCGCGAATTTCTTGGATCGGCGCTGCGGCGCCAGAGCGCCAGTCCAAGAAATCCGCGCGGACCTCCGAAAGCTTATAATCATGCAGTTCGCTCTTCTTCGAACCTTCGACTGCGTGACCAGCACCCTCCTGACCCGCCCGAAGGCGGAGAAGTGCGTCGCCAGAGCCCTCGAGGTCTCAAAGCCCAGGGCGTTGACCCGCCGCACGATGACCACGTGCTGGGAGTCCTCGCGACACAACGACTGCAAGCAGCTCCCAATGGTGCCAGCCTGACAAGCTCTGCTCGGATCGTAGCCGAACTCGCTCGCGCCCTCGAGCGGCCCCCTGCGCACTCGCCCCGCACAGTGCCCGCCCGCACGGCACGCACACGCCTCGTGGCAGTCCGCCTGGGCTGCCAGCACGGTGGCCGCCGCGACCGCTCCTCAGGAGACCACCAGACACCGATACCACTCCTCCCCGGGCCTCTCCCGGGGTGCGTTCTGACCAGAGCCTCGAGGCGAGCCCGGCCGTGGCGACGAGGGCCCCCAGAGGAGGCCGACAACGGCGAAAGCGAGGCGTGGGCACCTCCTCCTCCTCCGAGCCCCCGTGGCCTCCCGGCGTGGCGGCGGCAGCCGCCGCCGCCGCCGGGCCTGCGGCCCGGCCCGGCGGCCCCGCGTGGCACCTCGGCGGCGCGCCCGCGCGGCGGCCTGCCTCGCCCGCAGCCGCTGGTGCACTCGCGGGCGCCGGCACGGTCGCGGGGCGCCCGGGCGCGGCGGCGGGGCCGCCGGGGAGAGCTGCAGGGCGGCCGCCGGGGGCGCCAGCGGTGGCCCCAGGCGGTGCCAGCAGGGCGGGGCAGCGGTGGTACGCCGCCGCCGCGCGCAAGACCGAGCCCGCGGGCAGGTCGGGCATCTTGCAGCGGGGGCGGGGGTGGGAGCGACTACGGCGCGGGTGGAGTGCCTGCAAATCGAGCGCTGCCTCCAGGGGCCTGCCGACACGGCCTCGATCCTCGAGCGAGCGGGAGAGGTCCGTGGGTGGGGGAGGGGAAAGGGGGATAGGTGCGAGGGAGGGAGAGAGGAGGCGGAGGGAACGGCCCCCGTTGGGAGGCCCCTTGCCGCAAGCGGGCTGTCTTTAGACTGACCCAGGAGAGGGCGCAACCTGAAAGTGTGGTTATACCACGCAGGCAGTCGAATCATGGCAACAAGAACGCGCGTCAAGAAGATAAACCCCTTCGCCGAATCACGAATATTCCGAAATAGAAAATCCAAGGGTGCCCCATGAGAAGCTAAGATTGCTGCTAACCCGCATGCCAGCTGTACGACAGACCGCATTTGGCGATGGACGTAACTATGCGCACGCAGGCTTGATGTGCAAGATGTCAAAGAAATCTACAGCAAAGCAAGGAAAGCCATCCATGGCGTACCCCTTGGGCGCAACCTATGGCCACAAAGATTCCCTGGGCACATGGGAGCAACCTATACCGCAACCAATGGCGCAACCCATGGCCAGGAAACACCCACGGGCATATAAGCGCAATCCATGGCGTAATCCATGGGCACAACCTACGGCCGAGAATTCCCTGGACACATGAGCAGAACCTCTGACCACGAGAAATCCACGGGCACATGAGCGCAACCTGTGCCGCAACTCATCGGAATTTCACCAGCGCGCAGGCGCAACCTATGGGCGCAACCCATCGGAAAATCCGTGCGCACATGGGCGCAACGTATGATGCAATCCATGGGTGTAACCTTTGGCTACGGGAAATCCCCGGGCACATGGGCCCAAGGCACATCTCATGGGCGCAATCTATGGCCGAGAGAAAGCTTCGGCACGCATGCCGCAGCCCATAGGCGCAACCCACGGCGCAACCCATGGGCGGACCCTAAGGCCAAGAATGATCGGCGGCACGTCGTACATAGCTTCACTCATCATAAAAAGAATCTCCAAGCGGAAGCACTGTTTGGGGACCTGCTGCATAGGACGCTTTGAACTTGGATTGGCCGAAGAAGACCGCCACAAAACACCAAACATTAATACACACACAGACAGATAGACACTCACAACGGGCAAACAACCACAAACGAACAAACAAACAGACAACAGCACAAAATTCGCCGGCCCAACGGGCCAGAGGCGTGCTAAGATCTCCGGTAACTGGTTAACAATTGTATTGTACTAGTTCGCGCGCGCGGGGCGGCCCCTGGGGGTCCCCCGGCGAAAAGTACCCCGCCCGCCGCCTGACCAGGTCCCGCCCGGTTCAACTCAGAGATGGTTTTCCTTCTGGGTGCGGCCTCTCAGGCCGCCCTGAGCGCGCCAAGAGTGCCCCAAGAGGCCCCCAAGATTGCTCAAGAGGCCCCCGAGACGTTCAAAGAGCGCTCCAAGGCGCCGAAGATGACCCCAAGACGGCCCAAGAGACCCCCAAGACAGCCGAAGAGGCCTTCAAGACGCCCCAAGAGCCTTCCAAGAGGCCTCCGAAGAGGGCCCCAAGAGGCCAAAATCGTTGATTTTCATTGGTTTTTCCGATGTTTTTTGCGTTCTGGCTTTTTCGGCTTCCGGACGCTCCAAGACGACCCAAGAGGCGCCCAAGATCGCTCCAAGACGGCCCACGAAGCTCCCAAGACGGCCCCGAAACGGCCCAAGAGGGCCCCCAAGACGGCCCAAGTGCCGCCCAAGACGGACCAAGAGGCCCCAAGACGGGCCCAAGAGGGGCTCAAGAGGGATACAGAGAACTGAAAAATCGAGCCCTCCGCCCCAGAAGGCGCCCAGGAGGCCCCAAAAAGGCCCCAAGAGGCCCCCAAGAGGCCCCCAAGACGCCCCAAGAGGCGCCCAAGAGGCCCAAAAGAGGCCCCAAGAGGCCCCAAAAAGGCCCCCAAGAGGCCGCAAAACTCGGCTAGCCCGCAACGGTGCGACAATATGGGCCGGCGGAATGAGCGAAGCGATTAATAACAAAGTATGCGGAGCACACCCTGCACGTCAAAAACCAAAAGTGATGGAACAAAGGTTGCCAAAGACACTTTAGATCTGGAGTCACAAAACACATGCTGAATGTTCACCAAACAGAGTTTGAACTTAGGGGCTCCTACTTGGGTTACTAAGAAAATGGATGGGTGTGTCGGGGTTTCGGCTAGTGCCCGGTTTTTGCCGCCTCGCGCTGCCACCTCATTGCCGCCTCGTGCGCTGGGTCGATGTGTCGGGGTATCGGCTGATGCCCGGTTGGTGCCGCCTCGCTGCGGCCTCGTTGCCGCCTCAGTCGCTGGGTGGGTGAGTCGGGGTGTCGGCTGGCGTCTGGTTGACTACCTACCAGACCACCCCAACCCAACCCGAAGACCCGAATTTCGGGTTGGGGGGGGTAAGGGTTCCACGCGTGTTTTTTCGATGTTTCCCGACCCCCCCCACTAGAAATCGAGGGTAAATCTGAGCCTTCGGGTTGGGTTGGGGTGGTTCGGTGGGTGGTGACTGGTTGGTGCCGCCTCGTTGCCGCCTCGTGCGCCAGGTTGGTGTGTCGGGGTATCGGCTGATGTCCAGTTGGTGCCGCCTCGTTGCCGCCCGTGCCGCCTCGTAGACCCCACTTAGCTTACACCACACAGCTTGCAGCGCAAAGCTGACACCACCTAGCTTGCACCACGTAGCTTACACTACATAGCGTACACATCCACAGTGCAACAACGTACTGGTGAGGCTCCACGCTGGCTGCTAACATGTGCGTCTAGGCCCAATGAACCAAAAATGATAAACCACTCATGCTGGTGAAGCGCGCTGGCGCCGCACCAGCCTTGCGGGGCATGTTCCAAAACGGGAGCAGGTCCCCCCAAGGGAACGACTCGGCTGGGGCGAATGTTTGACCTCCTGTCGCGGAACGCTGTCAGGGAACCAGCCGCTTAAAGCGGTTTGTCCTCTCGCCTTCTCGGCCTCAGTTGAGCCTCCGTAGCCATGATGGGAACAAGATGATCGAAGAGGGCCCCAAAAGAACTTGCGACAGCCCCAGAAGACATCCATGAGACCTCATAATGGCTCAAATATCCCAGTTGGCCCCAAGATGGCCCCAGGGGCTCCGCCAGAGAGCCCCAATTGGGCCTCCCAACTGGACAGTCTCCAGCGCTATCCGACAGAGAATGGGTTCGCGACCCACGTCTTGGCGCCTCTTGGGCTGTCTTGAGCTGTCTTGGGGCCTCTTGGGGCCAGATTGTGGCCGCTACCAGCTCACGCGGGGCCGTCTTGGGATTTTGTGCAGCGCTGGGGCTGTCCCGGGCCCCTCCGCCCTCGGCTGCTACGCAAGAGAGGCTGAGAAGGCGGGCAGTGAACGCGAAGCGAATTGAGCAAAGAGTCAGCGCGACGGCAGGCAGGCACAGGCCCGAGCGGGGGGGGGCGGGGGCGGGGAGAGAGGAGGGGGCGATGGAGGACGGGGGACGGAGGAGGGAGAAGAGGCCTCACACTCCAGAACGAGTAGCTGGGTGGTGCTCCGACGCGGGGCCGCAGAGCGACAGCGCAGGCGCAGCACCGCCGGGCATCGCCCGACAGCGCCGCACCAAGCCGGAGCGGGGCGGCGGAGCGGGCAGGGCCCCGACCGCGCGGGCGGCCGACGAGAGGAGAGGCCAAAAGGGCCGAGCCGTCTCCCCTCCCCGCGCTCCCAGGCTCGAACGTATCCCTATCCCTAAGATTAACAGGCAAAGAGTCGACGACAATCTTAGGGATGCGCCCTCAGAAACGGAGGGAATCCCTGAGAGCGGCATCGAGACGACGCGGTGCCAATCAAAGGGATAGGGATATGTTCCAGGCTGGTGACCCTCGCCAGGACCCTCGGGCCCACACCCTCAGCCGCACTTCTTCGCGCCGCCCCTCACCCGCCGCCAAATCCCGGGACCAGCCCACCCTCCTTCCAAGCCCCGTCCCCCTGCTCTCGCCCTCCTCATCCCCGTAATGGCCTCCTCTTCCGTGTCGTCAGTCAAGGCCCCCTCCTCATCTTCTCCCTTCTGGTCCAACCCGCCTCAATCGAAACCCGTGAGTCAGCATCAACGACTGCAAGCTTCCTTTCAACGAGGCCACATCCGAAGAGTTCTGCAAATCTTCCCAGGCCACTTATCAGGCCATTATGTGGGAGCCAGGTCTTCAAGCTCAGCACAGGCAGGGCCGAGGGTGAGCGGGGGAAGGGGCGAGGAGAAAGACTTGAGCAGGAAAGGGGATGAGGACGAGGGGCCATGGGTGGGTCTACAAAAGGTCCGCGCACCCAAGGGGATCGGCCTTGGCAGCACTGGCTGGCGACCTCGACGGAACGCGTTGTTTTTCAAGGGATGTGGGGAAGGCCGGAGAGGGGAGAGGGCGGACGTGAACTTTGCCCATTTTCATTTTATCCTCTCTCGGTACGTCCTCTTTCGTTTCACGTCCTCTCTCATTTCGTCCTCTTTCGTTTCTTCCAACTTTCACGTCCGCTTGTCATTTCAATCCCTTTTCGTTTCGTTCTTCCTCATTTCGTCCGCTTTTCGTTTCGTCCTATTCCGTTTCGCCCGTTTTCGTGTCGTCCGCTTTCTTTCGTCCGTTTTCGTTTCGCGTGCTATCGCTGTGGTTGATTGATTCGCCCTGCAATGCTCAATGAAGACATCGGGCGACTTGAGACCGTGCGAATTGAAACCAGACGACATGAAACCAGACGAATTAGTTTCCCACCACCACTACCATAGGTTGAACGGGGGAGTAGGGAGGATGGGGAGGTCCTCCTCCTCTTCCTCATCCTTCCCTTCATCCTTCTCCTCCTCCTCCTCCCCAATAGCTCCCCTAGCTATGGTATAGGTGGTGGAAATTGGCCCATCAGAATTGAAGCCGGAGAATTGAAACCGGACGAGCTGAACCCGGCCGAATAGAAACCTGACGAATTGAAACAGACGAATTGAAAATGGACGAATTGACACTGTCGTCTTTACTGCCTTCGCCGCCACGTCGACCACAAAGGGGCCCGCGTAAGCTGCCCACGCAGGGGTGATTCAAAAATGTCTTGCTGTCTTCATCGTCGCAAATACAAGTCTGAGGAGCCGCGGGGGCAGAGTCAGTTTTGC